GAGGTATCTCCTTGAATCTAACGTACGATATTCTGTCGTCTTTTTATTAGCTGTCTTGGGAATGAAACTGCCCCTCAACCTTGCCCAGAAGACACAGAAAACCCAAACACTGGGGCAACTAATTCTTCAGCTTGTACGGTAAGATTATTATTTGTTCGCAAATTATTGTTTTCATTAGTGTTTCTAAAGGAAATATTCTTTATTAAACACTTGTTTCCTAGCACCAGCCGAATTGTCTAATTAACTCAAAGCTCATTCTGATCTTAATGCAAAAATTTTATGGATAGCCGTTAAAAAAATGTAATAAAAATCGAGGCGCGTAGTGCAGTCGGTAATTGATATTGTCACTCAACGATTGCGTTGTCATCTTCCGGCCATACTCCGACCTTGTAAAGTAGCTAACAAAATCACGCTACTCTAATATGAGAGCAGCACTGTCTGCAGTGTCTACATCTACTCAAAAATGTTCGCCTGTGAAAATCATTTAAAGAGGTGATGACGGTTGATCCATTCCCAATAATTTTGTTATATGATAAAATAGTTTTTAGTTTCATTGTGAAGTCTATTACTGGATTTAAAAATTCGGATTTCAGACTCATATCTGTTCTTGCAGGTGGGTTTCAGAGAAGGAAAACCATCTTTGGATCCTGGGAAAGAGGGGTGGGGAGGAGAGTTCTTTTGAATGCTCCAAGTGATGGTGATGATCAAAAGATTTTTGGGGGTTCAAAATTTTTTATTCTGGAACTCTTTGGGTAGGAAAATGTGGCAATTAGTATTTATTTGGGTATTGGATTTAAGAAGGGATTTTTGGGTATTTGAAACAATTTGAAGATTTGTGAAACCGCGCATGTTTCCCAGCCGCTTAGTTCAACTAATAAAGTGTTTGTGTGATTGTTTATAGAAACATTACACTTCATCCAGGGCTGCCATTGAGTTTTAAAGCAGCCGTAGCAAATGAAGATTCACCCCTAACATCTCACAAAAATTTATAGTGCCACCTTTTGCTATCCACTTTGATCACCCATAACATCAAGTGAGTTTAGCCGTAACAGGTCAGGTGTTACGGGTTACAACCCTTAATGACAGCTCTGGGATCTCACAATAAATGTTCGATAACACTCGTTATCCATACTCAGCCAGTGTCTGGTGCTGTATCCATTGGGGTTTCATTTTATTTCAATGATTTCTCATGCATTGTGTCCATTGCACAGCACGTCCGCCTTTATCATCACAGAAATTCCCTTTTACTGAAGTGAATTCTCAGGCTTGGAAATTTCGACGGCATGCAGCTTTCAGGGGGTAAATTTCGTTCAGAAGGTTTTGGGGTTTGTTGGAAGTGCTACGGACTTTTTTGTTTTTGACTTTTGCCTTGATTTGATAATCCCTGTTACTTGAAATCTGGAGTATCCCCCTCTTTGGCTTTGGATTTTTGTGTTTGATTACGGTAAGCCCAATAGCAAGGCCTTGGCTAGTCAAGGGGGGGACTTGGTGCACATGTCCATCCCTCGCCTTTCTTCAAAGTGTATAGCGTGTTTTTTTTTTTTACTGAATATTGGATGCAATCCTTACAGGCATGTGCTTCAGGATTAAACAGCACTGCGGGATCCATATCATGTGACGTTCCTTGTCCTGCCGGTTACGACTGCACAACATCACCAGGGAATGTGACATTGTGTGCAGCAGGAACTTATTCTAATCATGGAGAAGGAATATGTCGCCCTTGTCCTAGTGTTAAAGTGTGTCCAGACCCATCGCAGCAACCTCAGGTATGCTTTTATTGATCAATTACAGTCAAACTTTTACACAATAGTTTCTGTGACAACAACTTATAGGAGGCCATTGTGTAGAGTGCTTGTAGAACTTTGCTTAGATGTAGAGAGTTGAAATAGAGCTTATATTAATTTCATTAGGTTGTAAACTTAGTACAGTCAAACCCTGCATTGCGGACACCTGCCTAACACTGACACCTCATTATTACCGACAGTTTGTTTTGTCCCTGGGGAAAGAAAGCCCCTTACATTCTCTTTAAATTCAACCCACTTAATACGGATACCCTGTTATAGCTTGCGAGCAAGCTCTCCGGGGCGCTCTGGCAGCGGAGTGGGAAAAGATAGGAGAGCTTGCAACTACGTCTCTGGAATTTGAATATCTGCATCGAAAAAGTCAATGTGAAATGCTGATTGGTGGAGATGACATTAGTAATGACATCATTACCCTTGGCGCATGCTTTCATGTGTTTTTCAATGATTTTTTGTATTCACGCTCATTTCCGCTTCACGCTGATTGGCGGAAATCTGACAGCTCAGTTGATGGGGAACTACCGGGGAATTGGAGGCGGAAATAAATTCCAGAGATGTAGTTGCAAGCTCTCCTTCCTTCTATTCCCGCCCTGCTGCCAGAGGGCCTTGGAGAGGTTGCAAGCTAACCCTGTTAATATGAACACTTTCTATGGCCCCGTCAGTGTCTGTATTAATACGGTTTGACTGTAATACAAGTCTCTTGAAAATTGTGTTAACCCTGTAAGTCCCAATAGTGACCAAGATCAATTTTGTCCTATCAATATCCATACATTATCAACAGATAAGTTTTGAGAATTAATAAAATGATCACCTAAGTAAAAATGCCTTGATCTTTTAACAAATTCTCTCAACTCATTCATGAAGGAAATGTATAGAGATCAGTTTGGAGAATTTGTATGTAGATACTGGGGCTTAAAGGGTTAAAGCCCAGTCAAAATGTGCTGGCAGCTTTCAATTTTGCTTCTCCTAGAAGAATATTTGTCACTATTCAACACTAACCAAACTGGTTTTTTTCTTCACAGTACTGCCCAGGAGGATATCAGCCTGATGTTTCTCAAACAAAATGTGATCCTTGCGAGGCAGGTAAATTCTCATTCAATGGGACATCATGCCAGGCTTGTGCCACTGGAAGCTATAGCCTTGGAGGGGCAGCAGAGTGTACTGTCTGCCCTGCTGGACACCAGTAAGTATGCTGATTTATATCAAGAAATATTCAAGTTAACATTATTCACCAATTAAGGGGGCCCTTGAAAAAAGCCCAAAGTGACTTTTGGATGNAAACTGGTTTTTTTCTTCACAGTACTGCCCAGGAGGATATCAGCCTGATGTTTCTCAAACAAAATGTGATCCTTGCGAGGCAGGTAAATTCTCATTCAATGGGACATCATGCCAGGCTTGTGCCACTGGAAGCTATAGCCTTGGAGGGGCAGCAGAGTGTACTGTCTGCCCTGCTGGACACCAGTAAGTATGCTGATTTATATCAAGAAATATTCAAGTTAACATTATTCACCAATTAAGGGGGCCCTTGAAAAAAGCCCAAAGTGACTTTTGGATGGACTCGTAGATTCTTTCTCCGAAAAGATGAAACTCTGCATGTACACTGTACACTGTAGCTTCTTTTACCTTCAGTTTCTCACCTTTAGCCTGGGCTAAATCTATATATTACTGTTTTTTCATTTACAGATGCTCCAATCAAACCATTGATCCAGTCAGATGTAATCCTGGTGAATATGCACCTGCTGGTGAGACCAACTGTACACTGTGTGAAAAAGGATTTCGCTGTCCAGATGTCCCGTTAGCAAGTCCTTTGCCATGTTTTAATGGCACATACACAGATTCTATGGGGCAGACAGAGTGCAAGCTCTGCACTGCAGGAAATTTTTGTCCATTCGCTTCACAAGGGGAGCGGCCATGTGAGAATGGAACTTACAGTAAGAATGGATCGTCGGTATGCACTGAGTGTCCAGGTGGACATAGGTGAGTGGTGAATCTGCCCTTTTACTTTTGATGTAAAACAGTGAAAAACTTTGAACCCTGCAGGAGTCATTTCTAAAGTAGATGGTGTTGACATTGACTGACATTTCAACACCCTGTGTGGCAGTCATCTTCAGAGTTTAAGTGAGTTGTATCATGTCAGTTGATGGTATTGAACTCTGGTTATTGACCTGATTACTCAATTAAGCTGCAATGTCATTAGCGAGGCGCAAATCTTATTTAGAGTCTTTATATCCTATAATATCATGGCTTAACTGACAGATGACCAATGACATTGTCATTACCATGGATACCTGAAACAATAACACTTTCTGTGCCCATTAATTAGTATCTATTTTGAGATATCCTGAATGAATGCAGTTATGATATTTATTATTGACCGGGCGCTGCCTAATGAAATAACTTCGAACCTTTAAGTGACAGGTAGGCTCTGTCCTTAATTTTACCCAGCTTACTTTTCACGACTGCACCTTATCCATTTGATTTGACTGCATTTTTTGGGACTTACTTTTGACTTTTTTTCAGGTCAGTCCTTGATCTTGTATTCATCAACTTTAATAAGATTCATTTTTAATGTATTGTTTAATTTTCTTTAAGTTGTGCTGATCCAAGTGCAGATCCTGTTCAGTGTCAAAATGGTACCTATGCACCATCAGGAAGCCTTGCATGTCTACCTTGTCCTGAGGGAGCTCAGTGCTTAACACCAGGGCTGTCAGAATACGTACCTTGTCATGACGGTACTTATCTGTCGACAGATGCAAACAATGTAACCAGTTGCCAGAGTTGTCCTCCTGGAAAGAGGTGTCCAAATCCAAATCAGGCACCAGAGGACTGTCCAGATGGAACTTACAGCAAGGGTGGGACAGTCGCATGCACTGTGTGCCCAGGAGGCCATAGGTGGGTCTTTAAGTTTAAATAACACAAATGTCTGGTTTTCAATTTGAGTAGCAGGCCTAGTTCCTGGAAAGCAGGGGCTGTGTGTATGTGAACAAAGGTGTGCTTATTGTACTTCTTGTGGTGCATTTTGTGGATTGCTATCACTTGGGTCAGTTTGCTTAAAACTAAAATGATGAAATAGAAACATTATTAAAAACGTTATCTGACAAGAGATCACAGTATACAACCATGGATAAAAGTTAATTACAAATCCATAAATAAAAGACTATTTTGGAAACAATATATAAAGCCCTAGACTGCGTTTAAAAAATACCTTATGCAATGCTTAAAAGAAGTAAAAAGTGTCTCTTTACTTTTCCTGACACATTTGTGATTTGTGCCCCGCTAATGGCAGTCTTTAACTCATGTTTAATTGTTCTGGAGCCTCTTACACACAAACTAAAAAAATCACTTCAATAGTTTTTGTAGTATCTGTTCCAGCTTTGTAGGCTGTTAGGCCATCAAATGAAAGAAATTCCTTGTTGCGTACTCAATCAATTAATCAGTCAGTCAATCAATCAGTCAATCAATCAATCAATCAATCATCTTTATTGTGATTAAAAAATGTCAGTGTCAGATAATTTGCTTCTAGATGTGAAAATGGTTTTAAGACACACCCTCAAAACAACACCTTGGTACAGTGAACATTGAAGTGCTAACATCATGCTTTCATCATCATGTTGTCGTATCCTCTAGCTTATTACAGCACAAAGATGAGAAAACATTGTTTTGTGTCCTTGTTAGTGGAAGTTTAGAAAGAATTTTCTTTTGTTTCCATTAATGGGTGTCCACATTAAGCAAAGGACTTTCCACATGGTGTGTATGGGTGTGTGTGGACCAACTGTACCTTTGAGGGGTGTTTCCAAATTTTCTGACCTCCCCCACGTGACGTACCCTTCAGTCCCTGGGATTGGCAGAGCCTTAGTGGCACATACATCCCACCAACGTACATGGCCTCAGTTTTCTATTCTTCTCACAAATTCCACTGGATAATCTCTCTTTTTTTCAGATGTCCTGTTAAGACAGATGATCCTATACCTTGTGGAAATGGAAGCTTTGCTCCAGAAGGGAGCACTTACTGTCATGGCTGTCCAGTTGGATCCCAGTGTCCCTCTGCAAAACTTGCATACCACCAACTCTGTGCAAATGGTTCATATTCACTAGTTGTGAATGCCACAAGCTGTCTAGAGTGTCCTCCAGGTTTCAAGTGTCCTAACCCAAATGTGGAGCCAGTGGAGTGTGAAAATGGCACATACAGTAAGGCTGGGGCCACCCACTGTGTTATATGTCCAGGAGGACATAGGTAAGCCGTAAATTATTGATAATAATCCAATAACCTTTGAATAATAACCTGATTTGATGAGTAGCCCTCTTTGATTAATAATAGGTGGTGCTATTAGTAGTAATGTAGTTCTCAGTATTAATTATATTCCTTTGTGTAATTCTCTAACCTTGTACCACTTTCACATAAAACCCACTAGTGCATTTATACCAACTCTCCCAGATACAGCACTAATCTCCCGCTCTCCTGTACGGATGAAATGGACTTTTGAGCACTTTTGTGCTTTAGTTTGAAATTTAGCCCTTTTTTTTTCAAAATAATAACTTTTTAATTTTCATTGTACAGTTTCTGGGACATTCTTGCAGGTATTTATCACTAACAAAGATTATTTTGTCATTGCAATGATGAAAATGAATTTTGATAGCATGTAGGTCATGTAAGACTTCATATAATGTCCTAAGCCAAGGCAGCTGGGTCAATTTGTGTGCAGGCAGTTGGGAGTGGTGGGCTGTTGACATTCAGAGGGGGAGGGGGGTGTAGTGCAGAATAGAGAGTCTCCAGATTTTAGATCTCCGGAGGCTGGTATCTCTGCCAGTGAACTAACTTGGTGTCTGTATTCGTCCATAGCTGTGCTGACAAATCAGTAGATCCTGTTGTATGCCCTGCAGGAAGCTTTGCACCATCAGGAAGCCTAGAATGCCAACCATGTCCGCTGGGATCTCACTGTCCATCGAATACTTCTGCTGTCCACACACCCTGTGCACCAGGATCTTATGCTAATGAGACATCGTTACTTGAGTGTCGTCCATGCCCTGCAGGGTTTCTTTGTCAAACTCCGGCGTTGTCTCCTGTGGCCTGTGAAAGTGGTACTTACAGCAAAGGCAGTGCTGCTAACTGTACTGTTTGTCCTCCAGGATTCAGGTACGCAGAATACATAGAATACCCATTACAGCTGTATGCATTCTATAATGTAGGCTTTTTCTGTTGGTCTTTTGACATGTTGAGGAAATTGCTTTTGAGGGTTCAAGGAAGTTTGTTTCTTTTTCCTATCAGGTGCCCTAACAAAGACTCAGACCCTATACCCTGTAATGCTTCAACATATGGGCCAGGTGCAACCACAGAGTGCCACCAGTGCCCAGCAGGATCGGAGTGTCCATCAGCAAAACTTTCAACTCACGTGCCCTGTCGTAATGGAACGTATGCAGATTCTGAAGGAAACTCAGCCTGTCTACAGTGCCCTGCAGGTTTTACGTGCCCTAATCCTGCAGCATCTCCTGTGCCATGTGAAAATGGGACCTACAGCTTTAAAGGCGCTGCTTTGTGCAGTGTTTGCCCTGCTGGTTATAGGTATTATGTCACCTGAAATGCTCCATGTTAATTAAAATTGATTTATCACTGTTTTTCATTATTTTCCATATAAAACCAAAAAGGCTATGATTGAGTTTTGATAGTGGTGGAGAAATAAAAAAGAACTAGACTGCTTGAAATGGGCCTTTTGTCTTAAAATCTGTCCTTAAGTTGTTATTCAAGCACTCGCTCACACAACCTGGCAGTGAAAATGAGAAGGGACTGGAACAAGGAAGCACACCCAGTGGTCTTGTCCCAAGCCTTCCTTTTCTAATATTTTTTCCTGTAAGCTTTTAAGGGACATTACTACTGTTTATATTACATAGGAAACTCTTCTCTGCTCTAAATGAGACCCCATAGGCCTGGTTCAGACGCCGAACTTTTCATGAGCCGAACCTAATTCGAATTAAAGCCGACCCAAATTATTTTGGGTGGTTGAATTGATTCTTAGGCCGATCTTAATTCCAGCCAAACTTAATTCAAAAGGAGAAAATGCTCATTTCGGTCAAACTGCTCAGAAAATATGTTATAATAATTTATACATTAGGTTCAGTACATGAAAAGTTTGGCGTCTGAATCAAAGCCGTTCCAAAGTCTCTCCAAAGGTTAAATTCCCGGCCGGGCTAGGCGAAAAGAACGGTTGAGCCATTCCAAATTGAAACAGCCGTTCCTAATTGGTTCACATACCGAACTCTTCATGTACTTAATTCAATGTATTAGGTTCGGCTGATTAAAAGTACCGCGTCTGAACCAGGCCTTAGTCACTGTTTCTGAATTTACCTTTTGATACCATACTAAATATTTCTTCTTAATTACAGCTGTCAAAATAAAGCAAACCCAGTGGAATGCTCGAATGGCACTTATGCACCAGCTGGGAGTATCCAATGCTTTTCTTGTCAAAAAGGAACCCATTGTCCAACCAATGGCTTACCAATGTATGTTCTATGTGCTAATGGTACATATGCTGATGAGGAAGGATTGAGTGATTGTAAACCATGTGACGCAGGCTTTCATTGTCCGAGTGTTGGAATGGAAGCTCCTTTAGTGTGTCCTAATGGAACATACAGCAATACCACAGGTGCCTTGGAGTGCATTTTGTGTCCAGCTGGTTATAGGTGAGTTTCTGGAAGAGCCACTCAGAAGCTTTTCTGTCTATAATAACATTTGTATGATGATAGTTGTGGAAATGTTGGCTTTGATGTTTGAATTTTAACTATAAACTGATTTACCTCTCTTTGCCTGTTCAGTAGTTGCCTGATCTCATGATCTTAGTGCAAGCAGTTTGGCAGGTGATATTCCACCAAATGACATAGTAGACTAGAATTAAGCACTCAAACCTACACCAAACACATGCAGCAACTACAGCCAAATCCTGCTTTACGGACACCCGCTTGTTGCAGACATCTCATTATTACGTTTTGTCTAAATTGAACCTGCTTAACACAGACACTTTCTATGGCCCTCTCAGCATCCATATTAGTAGGGCTTGCCACAGTTGTTACTAAAATGTTAAAGGGGCTGTGTCACGGCAGTCCAGTTCATTTTGTTTTATTTTGCCAAATATTACTCGCCCTCACTCACTATGGAACTTAAAGGAGGCAAAGAATTTACATGTAAATGACAAAATCAGAGATTAGAGACAAACAAATATGTCCCCTGAGCATTATTTTTGAAGCTGCAAATAGCAGAGATAAACTTTGAAAAACTGTTGGGCTGAACAGTTTTCAAAAACCCTAATTTCCATCCGTTTCAATCTTCTTCAGTTTTGCCCATCCGTGGCAGCTGTTGTATCTGTTGTGTCATTTTAACCTTCCTTTAATGTTTTAAGCGGTTATTTTTATGCTTCTTTGAATTTAACGGGCATTTTGCAATAACCTAATTTGGCTGAATTTCGTGACACAGCTCCTTTAAGGCATGAACATGAAAGTCACTAAATAAATGTTACTGCACCTCATCACTTGATTTACACTAACTATAATGTACCCGCATTTCCAGTTGTGAGGGTAAATCAAACCGAGTGGAATGTCCCGCTGGAACATTTGCTCCAGCTGGGAGTGACAAATGCAAGGCTTGCCCAAAAGGAACCTACTGTCCAACGGCAGGGCTGGAGACTTACACCCTGTGCGCTAATGGCACTTATTCAGATGCTGAAAACCAATTGGAATGTAAGCTCTGTGGTGCAGGGTTTAGATGCCCAAGTATTGGAATGGAAGCACCTTTAGTTTGTCCCAATGGGACATACAGCAACATTACCGGTGCTCTGGATTGTATTCTGTGTCCAGCGGGTTATAGGTGAGGTTCTTACTATTAACCGTATTCAATTTAAGGAACTTTAATATCTTTAACTCAGCACATTTATTAATCAGGTACAACGCATAATTTGTAAAAAAAAATGCACTTTGTTCGGGTGTCAATGTATTTAGCACGAAAGTACTAATTGAGGACAATATTTTTACATCTACCACTGGACGCGGAACCGCCATTTTTGGCTCATCAGAACCACGTGAAGGTCTAGCTGTTTGCAGGGCAAAGGCAGTACCTTCATTTCTTGGTTATTGTGAGACCCTAAGTGTTGGTCCGACTCCAGGAATCGAACCCGAGACCTCCCCCTCTGCAGTCAAGTGCTCTACCGACTGAGCTAATCCTGCTTCAGTCAAGGAATTTGTGGAGAGACTAATGAACAGGACAGTTTTAGTGGTAGATTTTAAGTTTCAGAACAGTCGACAAATTAATCCAAGGTTGCACCAATCAAACACCACAAGCTGATCTTGCACTCTTGAAGCTTGAACAATAATTTTTATATATAGCAACTGCACTTCATCGCACCTTGAATCATCAGTGGATACCATACATCGAGTGGAGGAGACTGATTGGATAACTGGCAAAGGCAGAACTGTACTTACTAATTAGTCAAGCACACAGCACCATAAGTGATCGGCCGTCCAGCACTCCAATAGTCACATCATTCTTCCAGCTCAAGAAAGCTAACACAGCACTTCATTCCAAAAATTCAGCAAACTCTAGATGAATCTGCAAAAGCACTATTGAAGCACAGTATGTGTTTTCAGCAAGCAGCCAGTTTTCTTTCACAGTCGGTCCTGCAAAGTTTACCGTTGTCCTGCACAGTTAACCATTGTCTTACAACTTCAGGACTTGCACCTGAATGACGTTATTGTCAGTGAGGGAATTTGAAAGTGCACCAATGAAGAATAGTTTCTTAATTCGGCGAATGCAGTCATATTTACGATGGCCTTACATGGCTATCTACCACAGTTGCAACTGTAACGTCTACACCAGTAAAGCACCATTTATGAACTCAGCACATACGTGGAGATAATCGTATCTTTTTTGGTTATGTCACTCAATTCATACTTGCATTTTTAGTTGTGAAAGCAAAACAGATCGTGTGGAATGCTTGGCTGGGACATATTCACCAGCTGGCAGTACTAATTGTACAAGATGCCCCAAAGGAGCACACTGTCCAATCAAGACACTTGAAAAATACATTCTTTGCGCGAATGGCACATATTCTGATACAGAAGGCAGCTTGAATTGTAAGCCATGTGACGCAGGCTTTCGATGTCCGAGTGTTGGAATGGATGCAGCGGAAGTTTGTCCTAATGGAACATATAGCAATACGACAGGTGCCTTGGAGTGTATACTCTGCCCGGCAGGTTATAGGTGAGATTAAGTACATTCTGTGCACTCCAGATGAATTTGGAACTGCAACTGTCAAGCACAATGTGCTTCCTCGGCTTCCAGGGACACTAAGACCGATTTGAGCCGCACATTGTACTCTTAGACCTTCATGACTTGCACTTTAATGACGTATGAGAGAATCCTAGAAAGCACCAATTAACAGTTCTTTTAACTCAACAAATGCAGTCACATTTTGGACGCCACATCTTGGTGATTTCACTCTACCACAGTTGCACTCGAATTGATATTTTATCAGCACCTTGATCTGCAATGTCCGCACTCATCAAGCACCGTCAATGTATTCAGCTCTTGTGTGGAGATGATCATATAATTAGTGGTATTGCGTGTTAATCAATACATAATTGCATTTTCAGTTGTAAAGGGAAGACTCATCGATTAGAATGCTTGGCTGGGACGTATTCAGCAGCTGGAAGTGATGAATGTACAACCTGCCCCAAAGGAGCGCACTGTCCAACCAAGACACTTGAAACATACATTCTCTGCGCTAATGGCACGTACTCTGATACAGAAGGCAGCGCGGATTGTAGGCTCTGTGATGCAGGCTTCAGATGTCCAAGTGTTGGAATGGAAGCGTCCTTAGTTTGTCCTAATGGAACGTATAGCAATACCACAGGTGCTTTGGAGTGTATACTCTGCCCGGCTGGTTATAGGTGAGATTCGGTAACCTTCAATTGACACTTGATGAATCATGAAGAGCACCTATCAAGCACAATTTGTCTCTTCTACAATCAGGGTCACTTATTGGCACAACTGGTTCTGCACATTGTAGTCATATACCACAAGAAACTTGCACTTGAACCACTTATGTCCATGATAAGGGAATCTTAGAAAGCACCAATCAAGAACAGTTGCTTTACTCAACAAATACAGTTAGATTTTGGATGGCACATCTTGGTGATTTCACACCACAGTTGCACTCGAATTGATTTGTTATCAGCACCTTCATTTACAACGTCCGCACGTATTGACCACCGTTAATGTATTCAGCGCATGCGTGGAGATAATCATATAGTTAGTGGTATTGCATGTTAATTCCTAATTAAATTTTCAGTTGTGAAGGCAAAACGCATAGAGTAGAATGTTTGGCTGGGACGTATTCACCAGCTGGAAGTGATGAATGTACAACCTGCCCCAAAGGAGCGCACTGTCCAACCAAGACACTTGAAACACACATTCTCTGCGCTAATGGCACGTACTCTGATAGAGAAGGCAGCTCAGATTGTAAGCTCTGTGATGCAGGCTTCAGATGTCCAAGTGTTGGAATGGAAGCGTCCTTAGTTTGTCCTAATGGAACGTATAGCAATACCACAGGTGCCTTGGAGTGTATACTCTGCCCGGCTGGTTATAGGTGAGATTCGGTAACCTTCAATTGACACCTGATGAATCATGAAGAGCACCTATCAAGCACAATTTATCTCTTCTACAATCAGGGTCACTTATTGGCACAACTGGTTCTGCACATTGTAGTCATATACCACAAGAGACTTGCACTTGAACCACTTATGTCCAAAATTAGGGAATCTTAGAAAGCACCAATCAAGAACAGTTGCTTTTCCCAGCAAATGCAGTTAAATTTTGGATGTCACATCTTGGTGATTTCACGCCACAGTTTCACTTGAATTGATACGTCGTCAGCGTCTTTATTTGCAACGTCTGCACTAATCAAGCACCGTTTATATACTAAGCACATACGTGGAGATAATCGTATTATTGTTGGTTATGTTACTCAATCCATACTTGAATTTTCAGTTGTGAAGGCAAAACAAGTCGAGTGGAATGTCCGGCGGGGACTTATGCGGCAGCTGGAAGTACTAAATGTACGAAATGCCCCAAAGGAGCGCACTGTCCAAC